GGGGGGGATGGGCATAGAGGAGGACACTTGTGGGGATGAGCACTGGGTGTTATGTGGAAACTAATTTGACAATAAACTATTTGTAAAAAAATATATATATATAAAAGAACATGGTCTAGAATTCATCACCGTAGTTGTCTCCGGGGAAGACGTACAGGGCATAGGACTGCACACAGATTCACTCTGGGCTACAGTGATTATGGGAAATGACCCTTGGGCTGGCTTCATCAGGGATGTGGGTGTGACAAACTAAAATAACAATGGTGCTTTGCCAGTCCAAGTCCTTTTATTTAACATTAGTGTACTTTATTTTTATAAGACCCTCAGGAAGTAAGAAGGGCAGGTATTATGACCAAGTCTTAACCAATGAGAAAGGGAGGCCACAAATGTGGACACAAACATCCATCTTCCAATGTCACGTTCCATTTTTTTCCCTGTATATCAATGGGTTAAGCAAGACTGTGTGGGTGGACTGGAAATCCAAACAGATAACCAGACCCGGAAGGGAGGGAAATCCCCAACACTCTTAAAGACAGCCCTGATCACTCCAGCGTCTCCCCTAATTACAGGTATGTCTTACAGCCTCGGGTGGGGATAGCCTCTAAACCTTAGCCAAATCCTTCTCCTATCCCAGGAGTCTTCAGAACTAGCAACAGAATGTATAAGAGGTAGTATACCTCACAGGAAGGCAGTCGGCACTGGTACACCTGACTCCCTCCCCCGCACAGGCAGCAACCAGCAGTGCTGTTACCTGAAATGGCACTAAGTCCCTGGGAAGACATCAGACTGGAAATCCCCAGAGCATACTCTCCATCCAGATGGCTTCACTCTGAGCAACTTCTTTGCAGGCACAATAGGATATTTGTTTAATTTTTTTATATGTTTATTAATTTTTGAGAGAGAGAGAGCAGGGGAGGGGCAGGAAGAGAGGGAGACACAGAAGCCAAAGCAGGCTCCAGGCTCTGAGCTGTCAGCACAGAGCCCGATGCAGGGCTCGAACCCACGAACCTCCAGATCATGATCTGAGCCAAAGTCAGACGCCTAACTGACTCATCTGCTCAGTTGCCCCCGGGCACAACAGGTTTTAAAGGGGAGGCTACAAAACATACCTGTTCTGCCTGCAAATCCAGCTCAGCTGAACAGAGAGAGCCTGTATCCGAGCCACGCACAGGGTACTGTACTCTATGTCCTCAACCATGGCCCACTGGGGGCTCTTCTCTGAGATCTAAAGCTGACCCCAGTCTGGTTCTGTCTTGGCTGCTAGGCCTCCTCTTTATCCAATCCTTCCCTTTCCTGGGATTCAGAGGGACTCCCTCCCCGAAATAATGCAGAGAAGTTTGCTTAGATCTACATCCTCTTACTTTGCCTGGAAAAGAAGGATTTCCTCACCCTCAAGAGTCAAAGAGAATTGTGATTACACTCCAGTGCCTGTTACAAGTCACTGCTTGTACTGTAGCATTTCACAACTTTTCTTGAAGAATCCCTGGCAGGGAAGTCTAGAAACTTCCTAGACTAGAAACTAGAAATTGAGCAGCAGCTCAATTGCTGCCATCCTCTTGTTCTGCAAGACAAAAGGAATTTTCTAAATCCCCTCCTGGAGGTTCACTTCTGGGGTCCACCAACAGCCTTTGGAGTATGCGGGACAGTGGCGGAATGAAGTGAGAATTTATACTCCTGAAGTCTGCCCTGCTGCTCTTTCTGAAAGTCTTAACCTGTCCACTGCTCTCGTTTTCACACCCTCCTCTGCCACGTACCCCTCAGAAGGGGTGAGCACACTTCAAAAACCACACTTGTGGGTGCACATCCTTCCTGCATCCTCACAGCCTTCCAGTCCCTCCATCACTTGACCTTCAGTACACGCAAGTCAGTTGTGACTTGGTCTTCCAGGCCTGGAAAATACCACCCGAGACACACAGCTGGACGCCTGTCCGTCACTGGCCATGCTCTGTTGCTTCAAGGAATGATGTCTGAAATAGTCTCTGTTGCTATGGGTACCGGGGTCTCAGGCAATGATAGTATCAGGACAGACTGGGGGAAATGATAAAACTGATAACTTCATCTCAGGCTCAAACACGGATTCAAATTAACCACGTTGAATAATTTACCTCTGGGGATGAACATCCTCACTGTATCACAAAAGGAAATTTCTTAATAGACTGTTGTCACTGACAACTTGTACTTCATTTTCCAGAAAAGAGGAAAAGCAGTTTTTTTCCCACTCAGAAATGTGTGACAAGAAGTACAAAGCACCCATTAATTTCTTCTGACTCTTCTCTACTCTTGAAATTTGTTCTATGTTTCTGATTTTTAAATTCTCCTTTAATTTTTTTTTCATTTCTCAGCAATTTCAGTTTCTTTTTGCAAGCCCACGAGACATAGCTAATCCAATATTCAGTAGTGGAAGGCATTCTCATTAATCTTGGAAGTGATACTTTGCTTCAGAGTTTAAAATAATGAACGTTTTTATTACAAACCGTTTGCTTGAGGTCCTGAGTTCAGATTCAGAGGGATATTGATGGCCTTGCTTCAGCAAGGCCGAGGTGAAGGGTAAAATGAGGGTAATTAGCAAACTGTGAGAACACCTAAAAGGTAAAGAAAAAATTATGCTTTGATTAACTACTCAAGGAGGACCTAAGAGTCGAGTAAGTTACAGTGAGAAAGCAAAGTAATAGTGGCTGACATGTTTTTTTAAGAATTGTATATAGGTTTGTAGGCCCCTGGGTAGCTTAGTCTGTTAAGTGCCTGACTCTTGGTTTCAGCTCAGATCATGATCTCATGGCTCCATGGGTTCGAGCCCCACATCAGGCTCTGTACTCATAGAGCCTGGTTAGGATTCTCTCTCTTCGTCTCTCTCTGCCTCTCCCCCCACTTGCACTGTCTCTGTCTCTCTCAAAATAAATAAATAAACTTTTTAAAAAGAATCATACATAAGTTTGGATTGGGTTCGGTTATGAGTAACAAAGCTCACAAAAGCAGTAGCTTTAAAAAGATAGGGTTTCTCGGGGTGCCTGGGTGGCTCAGTCAGTTGCGCATCCTACTGGCTCAGGTCACGATCTCGCAGTTTTTGAGTTCAAGCCACACGTTAGGCTCTGTGCTGACAACTCAGAGTCTGGGGCCTGTTTTGGATTCTGTCTCCTTTTCTCTCTGCCTGTCCCCGCTTGTGCTCTGTCTCTCTCTCTCTCAAAAATAAACAAACATTAAAAAAAAATTTTAAGGGGTGCCTGGGTGGCTCAGTCGGTTAGGTATCCAACTTCAGCTCAGGTCATGATCTCATAGTTCGTGGGTTCGAGCCCCGCGTCGGGCTCTGTGCTGACAACTAGCTCAGAGCCTGTAGCCTGCTTCAGATTCTGTGTCTCCCTCTCTCTCTGACCCTCCCCTGACCACACTCTCTCTCTTTCTCTCTCAGAAATAAATAAAACATTAAAATTTAAAAAAAAATTTTAAAGATATAGTTTCTCTCCTGTATATGAGTCAAGGATGGAAGAGAACAGTTCAGGACACTGGAGATGCTCCTTCCAAATGCGACTTCACTGATTCCAAGGGGTACATTTTTTCACTTTTTCACATCTTTGAAATTGGGATGCATCTTACAATCACTGTTGGCCATGGCTGTCATTGCCTGAGCAGACACATCGGGATTCGACAGAGTGGCATCACTGTCTAGGAATGAAATCCTGGAGGCATCGCAGAGGATGACAGCAAGAGACATCAAGGATGCTGAGTACAGAAGCGATTTAGAAGAGTTCAGATTTCTCTAAAACCATTTTTTAGTTTTTTAATGTCTTTTTATTTTTGAGAGAGAGAGAGAAAGAGCGTGCGAGCAGGGGAAGGGCAGAGAGAGAGAGAGGGAGAGAGAGAATCTCAAGCAGCCTTTGTGCTGTCAGCACAGAGCCCGACATGGGGCTTGAAGCTGAGAACCGTGAGATCA